CCATCAGTACACATCCACAAGTTCGAGTTTCAGCATTCCTGACACACTGCCTTGTGCTGTTACCCGTGAGTAAGACAAGCTTTCCTCAAATCCCATCTCTTTAGCAGTTCTGCACCCCAGTACCAAACATTTATGGAGGTAAGGGAATGAAAAATAAAGGATTTGCTACAATCCAATCAAGCTCTTTTCTTCACAGATCGACAGTAGTGCATTATGAAAGTGAGATGCTAAGCCTGCCTTCTGCACTACTAACTCACCCCAGCACTTTCTGCTCTTTCAAACATCCTGCAGGGAAGATTTCCAACACTGAGTTGTGCATAACTCCGCCTCTGACCCTTCCTGTCCGGGACTGAGCAATAGGCTTTGTCTCATTAATTCAGTGGTTTTTAGGAAACTACTTTTTCCTGCCAGTTTTGAAACCCAGAGGAATTTTCTAGATGCGCAGTGACAACTCATGAGTAATAGCTGCCCCATTAACTACCACGGAGTCATAAAACATAACAAATTATTCAGCTTCCCAGTGTTTTTCCGATCAGCTTTCCCTTTCCAAACCCTGTAGTGCTCACAAACATCCCAACTATCTAAGCGACGTCATTTATAGTCAGAATCCTTAAAAGAAACAACATGCCCAGGTTGCTCAATCCTTTGGTATTCTTGCCGCCATTTCTTTTTGCCCTAGGGCACTTTTAAGTTGTTTTCCCTTTTTATTTAAGTTTTGCCTACATGAAGTGTATGTGTCCCGTGCCCACGGTCAAAAAGCAATGTGGGGAGCTGTCAAGACATGAAAGACGAGAATAAACCTGCTCTCCCACAGCTCTGTATCTGCCACCACAACATCCACGCTTGCTTTTTCTCCAGCACTTGGAAAACATTCCTTGGTTGGGAAAAGAGAGACTGTCTGAACTCAGGATACAGTTTTGCTCCTCATTCACCTCTGGGCAGTCCAGTGTTAAGAAATCTCCCTGCATCTCTTCAAGACAGGGTGACGCTGTTTCTGAATTGCCTTTAGTCAGTAGGTAGAAGCAGATCATCCATTCCCTTTCAGAATCTGGGAGTCAAAAAGAACAGTCTGACGATTTAAGAAATATCCTGTAAGCTACAATTTCTGCAACAATTTGTGAGAACGAGGGACAAGACTCAACATCCTGCCTTTCTGTCCACTACGATGATCACCTTGTGCTGATACACACAGGTCCCCAACACGGTACCCACCATTTCAGAAACTACATCCTATCAGGTTCTGTCTGAATGCACCTTCAGCAGGCCTGTGAGTACCTCACATAACTCAGATTTGGAAAAAGCAGATAGAGCTGTAGATGTCCCTGTTCACTGCAGGGGAGTTGGACTAGATGGCCTTTAAAGTTCCCTTCCAACTCAAATGATCCTACCATTTTATGAAAGTGAAGATGAGAACAGTTCCACACCTTTTACAAAATGGAGATAAAGTAACATAAGATAACAAACTCAATTCTGTCTGGGAGATGAAAAAATTTAACAGTATTTCTATTTTGCATTTATTTTGACAAAACTGCAGAAGTCTTAACAAAATGTCACGATTCTGTGATTTCAGCATAAACCTTTGAGGTGCAGTTGTTAACCCTGTGCTACAGATGGCAAAAAGGAGGACAGAATCAAGTTGGTATAAGGTGACCAGAGCTCAGTGCTCTAACTGAAATGTGTGTCCTTCTTCCTTCGGGAAAACTTCTGCTCCTGGTGCCCAAGTGAAATCTTGGATGCCACAGAATAAAAACCTTTTTAGCAACCCTAATGTCTCAAATTGCTGCAGACCTGGAACCTGTCTTATAACGAGCAGCAGAAAGCAAAGGAATGAGATGAAGCGGGCAATCCAGGCTGTGTTTCACAATGCTAAATTTAGCTAAGCAGTGATGATATCCAATGAATGTAACTCACTGAATTTACAGATTTCTCCAGGCCATTTAGTTTTAGTCAGAAAACTAAACAGTGGAACACTTATTTCTTTGCAGAGAGACCCGCTGGCACCTTGCTCTTTGTCTCCAAGTCAGTAGCTTTGGTACTGAGATCAGCAACTTCGAGTAAACATCTGTGACAGAAAAGAAGCACAGTGATCAAAGTCAGCAAGAGTTTGCTTGAGCACTAACTGAGCAAAGATGCCAGCCCAGGAGTTCAGGAGACTCACTGATAATGATCTCACTTGGAGTTTGGTGTTAAAAGTCAACGGTTGTGAAAATTTGACTTTATGCATTGCTGTACACCAGGCAACACAGATGGGATCAACTTGCCAGCTGAGCTTGTCATAGCTTTTTTATGAAAGAGTATGGAGGTACTGATGAGAAATGGGGATTTTCAGCAAGGCTGAGATATACAGCAGACAAAGAGGCAGACTGCGTTGGATTAACTGAAATGGATTTGTAAAGTTTCAGGTGTTTAGAGACTGCTCATGTAAGATGAAACAAAAAAACGGTGTATGAAATGAAGAACTCCGAAAAACAAAAGAAGCACTCCTGCTCATCCTTTTCCTAATGTAAGGTAATGTAAAACAAACTAAAATTATGTTAATATTTAGCTACTTATAATACAATCCCAACTGAACACTGGTCTTAATGCACTGCGAGCAGCGATGTGCACAAACACAGAACTCCCACTGCCCTGCATGCTTTACAGCCTGGAGAGTGGGGGAATACTCAGTGCATTTGTAAGCACAGGTCAATGCCACAAGAACACCAGAGGCAAGATCTTCTAAGGCTTCACAAATCAGGCCTCTGGGTAAATAATGAAAAACATTCAACAGCATTAATTTGAGTGAAAAAACAAGGCACATGATTCCTCAAACCTTTGCAACTATCCTTTCACAAGAACTTCATAACCTCTCCCCAGATCTTTCATACTTGCTGCTGTTAGAGATGTTGTCAAGCAGACAGGCTGACCACACATCTAGAATCCTCTACTGTTCCCGTGCTCCTCTGACATAATTCAGCTCTGTCATTTAAGCTGAACATTTCAGAAACAAGAAAGCTACTGAAACTGAGTTTGGAAAGTGTTTCCAAAGCTGCAGGGACCATCAGGCCAGCTGACAGCTCCTCATTAAGAAAAGCAAAAAGAAACAAAAGAACAACATCTTTTCCAGGCGGTGAATGACACTAGCATGAGACTGACAACTTTTGGAATGAGGTCACCTCCGTTTCCCTTCAGAAATGAAGCTACCAAGTACAATTAACAATAATTAAAAACTCCTTTCACAAAAGGACACTATACTTTTATTATCTCTGTTGAAACCTAATCAAAAGCATCACAATGGGCTTGTTGATTTTTTTTCCCTTTAAATCAAGGCTGACAGGAAAGAGAAAGAAATTGGCAATTAAAAACAGAAGCCCAATTTTCTTAGGTGCTGCAGTGTTTTGGCTCAAAATTTATGTTCTCCTCTACTCCCAGAGAAGAACAATTCACTATTTACTACCACGATATGATAAAACACAACCAAAAATTCTAATTAAAAATAATGTTAAAAGCTTAATGGGGAAATATGTGATCTTGATAATCAAATTTGGAGGTTAGAATGTGATTGCCTTTAACGTCTTTTCCAACTCATGCCATTCTATGATGATTTGATGAATTTATATGGAAAATGTAAGCACTAAGTGTTATCACACTCGTAAGAGTTTACTGGCCCCAGGCCTAATGATGTTCTACATCAGATTCCAGATACATTAAAAAATGCTGACGTTTCTTTGCATTCCAATTCACTATCACAAGTTCTGAGATGTTCACTGCAAAGATGTGAAAGTGTTTTTAACTTTTCCACTATTCCTTATTCATATTTGTTTCCTCTTATGAGTGGATGAAATATAACACAGGAAGCTCTCAGTAGAGACCCAGCAACACAGCAGCACCTGTAGAGCAGTACTGCTCCCCTCAGGATACTCAGAACTAAAATTATTTCCCTAATAGTACCTATGCCTCCCGTCACGGTCAGGTGCTGTACTTGGCCTGCAGCTAACATTCCACAACACTGGGATACTCCCAAAAACCTCATGATGTACCTGCCAGCCCCATGGGAACGTCCCATGAGGTGTCTCAGAAGCATCACTCACGTGCCAGCAACTGAACCCTGTACACTCGTAAACAGGCATGGGCACATGTACGAAGTTATTTTGTCTTTGTACCAGTGCCAAATGCCACCCACGTAGTCCGCCGCACATCCATAGTGTTATGAGAACTAGAAAAAGGAATAAAGCCTTTAGAAGGCTTTTGACTGTGGACAAAAGAAGTTGCACCGTTCTTTATCAAGAAAGATATTTGGATGTTAAGGTCTCCACCTGCAGGCAGGCAAAATTGCCAGCTTGAATTCACCGAGCAGAGCTTTAAGGTGCAGATCAGACACTGGCAAGTGGCTTTGCCCGGAAAAGAGCCCTTACACTTCCAGAACACGATTCATTCTGAAAGATTTATTGCTGTAACCCCAAAGCGACCCTGTGCCACGCAGTACAACGCTACGCACCTGAGCGCTGCCCACGGCCGTGGCAGGGGCTCTCAGGGCCATCCATCCTCCTGCCTGGAATGCTGCTGTCTCATCTGCTCGCACCAAGCCCACTGCAGAGATGGTGCTAAGGCTGGGGAAAGGGAAATGACAGGGTTAAGCAGCAAGCATGTAGGATACGGGTGAGGAGAAGACCACCTGCACACAAGCCACGTGCCGGTGGACAGGAGAGCTGCCAGCCAGCAGCCAAGAATAGCGGCAAGCAGGCAGACGGAAAGGAAACACATGCTCTTAAGCAAGAGGTCAAGGCAGTCTGAACTCATCAGCGCTTAAATACAGTCTTGCAGGGACTGAATGCTGCAAATCCCCACTGGTATCAAGGGGAAGGTGGAAGGCTGACGACCACACAGACCAAGGATGTTACGACAGGAGCAGATAATTCTGCTGCTGCTGTTTCACATACATATATTTACAGCTGAGCTGACTGTAAACAGGGAAGTCACGTGGCATCCGGATTGTCACGCAGTGACTTCCTTAGTGTCACGCAGCCTTAGAACACTGCCTTCAGCGTCTGTCAGACCAGAAGGCTCTGCAAAAATGGGAGCCTTTAAGCAACTCCTATCAACAACGCCCATCTCAGCCATCTTCCATGACTCAGGAATCTGTTTCTGGATGGCAGCGTCTATTTTCCGCTTTAGTTCCCAGCAGGGTATGTAACAGAAATGAATCTGAATGCTGACACAGGGAGTAGATTGATTGCAGTATTTTATTTTTTTGGACCCGGTCCCAATTTTAGTCTGATCTGGTTCTCAGATAGGAGGTTGTACATTGTCATGTACTTTGTAAAAGCAGTTGCTACACTGATCTGACAAGATATGCAAGGCTGTGCATCTGCGGCTCAGAAAAGCAGATCACTGCGCACAGCAGATGCATCAAATTTTCTCAGAATAATGAACTAGAGATTTACTGAAAGGAATATGGAAATAATTTTATGGGCTTCTTCCAAACACAGAGATATAAATACAGGTCAAATTTGCAGAGCATATTCATATAAGCACAGTTGTGTTTTAAAAGCAATTTTTAAAGAAAATATTTTATAATGTTACTAAGCCTGGAAGACAGCAGATCCAGACAACTTTCTTTACTATTATGCACACTACATTCTGGAAAAAAAAAAATTAATTCAACTTTCAACCAATTATCCACATGACAGATGAAATTTTCCAATTTCCCAGCATCCAGAAGGTGTCACCATGAGCTGGAATGAAGCACATAGGTGCTGTCTGCTGCTGAGCGCTTTGAAAACCTTATCATTTAGAGCTACATGCTCATAATGGCAATTCATTATGCAGTACATGTGAGCAACAGAAGCAAATGCATCTGAGACACACAAGCACACAACCACTTTCCTTCCTATGGCAAAATCAGTTATTCAGAGTCCCTTATCCAACTTGTGCTTGCAGCATGTACAGCTGCTTTACTTTATCTTTTTGCCACAATACCTCAGTTACAGATTCTGAGACTGGAAAGGTTGATCTCCTCTTATTCCATATTATAGTTATTCCACTCCTTGACACAATTTTACTAACTTTATCCAAGTAAGAAGGTTGCCTTCTTATTATAAAGGGCTGTGTGAGAGTTACTGTACGCACATTTTAATGGGTGTACCACTTAAGATACCATTTCTGACAGAATCTCAAACCTTGGGATGTAGCCATGATTTGGTCTGTTTGTGTGCCTTCAGATCAGATTCCTGAAGCTTGCAGCATCTCCTAAGCCACCAGAGAATTGCCATCTCTTACTCCGTGCTAGCTGGTAAGCATTTCTTCTAGTGAAGGAACTGTATGATTTTTTTTAAGCAGACAAATCCTTCTCTGACAAATGGACTGGTTCTACTGGACCAAGCAAGACAGAGAAATGGTGAAATCCTATGTCTGGCAATAAAAAATAAGCTGCTGTGAACAATCTTTCAGACCACAGCTGTAACCTAAGAACCCCACGTTGCTGGAGTGTCCATCCATGAAACACAGCAACATGTAACAGGGAGCCATGAACCCTAATGCAGAGTGTGACAGGTCTTCCAGGGAGAAAGCTCTACAAAGACATTATTATTATTACACACCCCTATTTTTAATATTAGGAAAATAAGATACCCCTTGCTAGTAGTTACAGTCTTGGAGCAGCAAACACAACTGGAACACATGACTGACCATAGGCAGAAAAAAAGAAGAAATTCAGAGCATCACAAGGCATGGGATGAGTGACTTTGTCAAATTTTTTTTCTCAAAACCACCCTCCCTGTCCTCCTCCCATTTCAGCATTTTAAGCAGCTTCAGCCGGCTAAAAATATTCTTACTTCTTGTTTGAACCGTCTGGCCATTTTCCTACAGACGCTATCTCAGCATTACAGTCAGTACAACTAACAGCATTAGTTACTTTCTTCTTTCTGAGATCAAGTGTTTTCCTTCACTTTTTCCTGAGCACGTCCCTTTAACAAACAGAAAAGGCCCAGTAATGAAAGTATCGAGATGATATCTTCTGAAATAAAATCTGTTTTACAACAGCAGGAAACGATTAAGATAATGCATAGACTTTAGGTAACCTATTCCAGTTTTGTGTTTAAGATGACAGCTTCAAAGGCTCAGAACTCTATGGGGCAGAAGTAAAGTCAAGTAAGCCAAGCCAAAGGGATGTAACAACGCACCTTTTCACCAGGTTGTTCTGAACATTCTCCGTAGCATCTAAAATACGCTGCTTCATCGTACAGTCCCAAACCTTTAAGAAACTGTAAACTTCCTTCCCTGTAGCAGCTTCCTGCAACCGCCCCTTCAGGTAATAAAGGATTAGAATGATCAGAACCGCAGTGTTTATGAAACCTTTTTTCTGCAGCTCTTTCCTCAGTCTAAAAATGAAAGGAGCGGCTATGCTAGAAGAAAAAAAAAAAAAAAAAAAGAAAGAAAAACAACATAATGAAAAGGAAGCACACACCCATATGGAAAAAAAATGGCAACAGACGAAGCATGCTTATTACAAACGCTTTGTAAGCTTGCCACCGCCAAAAAAACAAACAATTAATTAAACAGAAAAGAAACTTTAAGGTTTTCTTTCCTCTGTACTCTCAGAATCTTACGACAACCCGCGTTTCCAGAGGACACTTGCTGCTCTTACAGTTGTTATGGTTAGTTATAATATCAAACATAACAGCAAACAAGCTTCTCGTTAGGGCTGCAACTGTCAATATTTTAGCAGCCTCTAAGCAATCCCGCTGATGGCAGTAAGAGGGGGATTTTCACCCTAGCAATTCAATTCCTGCAGTTCCTAAAACACAAAGCACAAGTAAACACTACTGGGATTTGTGCTTATGTAAGTAATGCAAATGTGGGGCTATGACAGATCTACAACCCAGCAGGCTTGCATTAAACATACCCACACATTCCTCTGCATCTTACTTTGCACAGTTACTACGGCATTTAAACATTAGCAAGAGATTTGAGTTCTTGTACCAGCACAGCATCTGCCTTAGTACAGCAAAATATTTCTGGATTTGACTCAGATAAAAAAGATTAAACAGACTACTGTAGGAGCATGCGTGACTATACTTACAGCTTTGGAAGAGATTTAGATTGCAACAGGTGATGCTTAAGATGAAAAAAAGACTATGGCACAGCAACCTTGTTTGGTACAGCAGGCTGGGTGGTGTGCTAGGCCCTCATCCTGCTGTTAGAGCACTTATAGAGCAGAGCAGTCTTCCTCAAGAAGTAGGTTCAGCAAGGTGGAACTCTTTCCTTGCCTGGTTACTCGATGCAAAGACCTGCAGGGCCTGGTCTCCAGTAGGGTATTTCAATCCCACACAGTGTGTTAGCTATTCCTCAGCAAACACACGCCTTTTTGGCAGCTAAGATAAAGCTGTAACTTTCTGCAAGAGTCATTCAACCCTATTTGGTCTTCAAAAGGACTTGCTTTATTATAACAAATATTGAAAACATGCCACACACAACCCAGTGTACCTTAACGGGACAGTACAGTAATTACCTTCAACAATAGCCTGACTGTATCTGACTAGAAAAGGTCACAGATAGGGTTTAAACTCTGCCATGGTAAATTAAAACCAATTACTGATTAGACATAGTGAACTAATATACCAGATACAGGAAAAAAAAATCTAATTAAAGTTGTCAGTCACAGTTCGCTAATTATTTAAGAATATTTCATGTTATGCTCATTCAAATGAAAGGTTTTCCTAGTGTGGGAAATTCTGCTAGGCTGATGTGTTGAACATCTGTAATTTGAGCACATCATGTTCGTACCTTCAATCTCAGCCTCTCCTTACAGTGAGGCCGAGAGCTAGGACTGCTTCCCTGAGGGAGAGGCAGCTCAGGGGAATCCCAGCACACCTCTGAGTACCTGAAGGGAGGGCACAGAGAGGATGGAGACAGGCTCTGCTCAGTGGTGGCCAACACAGGCCCAGAGGAACAGGCACTGGCCACCATTTGGAGCCCAAGAGGCTCCTTCTGGACACCAGGCAACACTGCTGTGCTGTGGGGATGACAAAGTCCTGGCACAGAGATCCAGAGGCTGTAGGGTTCCACAGGGACCTCGGAACTTGGCCAGACATGGGGCTGAGCACAGCTCTAGTTTTCCCCCCTTGAGCAGGCTTTGGACCAATGGACACAGAGGACCCTTCCCACCTCCACCATTCTGTGATTCTGTAATATTTGCCAGGTAGCTCTTTCCATCTACAGCTTTAAATCTCTGCAACTACTGGAGATACCACCACAAACGGCAACGCCTCAGACAGACTAAAGCATATGCTGAGTTCACCTCGCTTCTCTTTCATTTAATTAAGAATCAAAACCACCGTCTACTAATGATCATCTCACATATTGTTGCATGAACATCAACAACTGACGAGTTGTCAGCTGCTCACCAGATGCACAGGCACACTAAGATTCAAGCAGTGGAGCTGGATACAGACTGTTGGAAAGCAAGAAAGGTCTTGGAGCTCTCCTTTCTACCCAAGCACACCATGATGCCTGCAAACCTTGGGACATCAGTTTTGCCATTCCTTCAGGTATTGTTAGTCAGCCCATGAAATGGTTTCAACTTTTTTGCTACATACCTACCCATCAACTCACCCACTCCTACCTGCTCTCTCACTTGCCAGTCTAATCACTCACCCACTCACCTTTTCTCTTGCTCAATCACACTAAGCCATCCATTTACATGTTTCTCATTCATTTCCCCATTTGGTTACACAATCCAATCTCCAAATACCTTCAATCCACTCTCTAATAGTAATTTAACCTCTTATAATATTCCTGTCCTCACCTTTCGCTTCAACATCCCTAGCCTGTATGGAGCTTCTTAGGTGGTTTTAAGGAAAGCAAACAAAAAACTCCTCTCTGAAGACTGGCAGTGCAATCCTCTCATCATTTGGGGCACTATGAAATGAAAAAAACAGTTACGGTGCTTTAGAAAATGGAGGTCTGGGGTAAGGCACTGGGGTATGACCAGAGGAACTGTGGTTTGAGTCAGGACAGCATGGCCATGGGCCAGCTCACACCAACTGGTCTCTCTCCCACAGGGTGACAGCAAGAACAATGCCCATTTGTCCTCCTTATGGTCAGGGAATGTTTGTTTTGGGGGGTGTTGATCAAGCTCTTTGTGGTTAAGACGTTGGAAATGTTCAAGCCAACCCTGCTTGAGCACCCAAAGCTTCTCATCGAAAAGACCAAGCGCTGAGAAACAAACAACAAACAAGCAATCTCCAACCACCAAAACGAATGGAACTATGCAAGGAAACAACAGTTAGAAAGTGGTTTTGAGAAGAATAGAGGACAATGGAGAGTGTGTGTGTGTGGGGGGGGGGAGAGGAATAAACATGCAGGCAACTACGATACAACTTCCAGTATTTCTGTCACTAATAGTAGAGTGTCACTTTATTCTTTCTCCCTGTGATGCATTACATGCATAAGCTCACTTCCTCAATGCCACAAAAGAATCACTTTATTTATACTGGCATACCAACCCTACACAAATCCACTTTCATTTTCAGAGTAAAAGTGGCCTTTTCAGGTAACTTTAACAGATTCTCAGGTAACACCAGAACAGACCACCCTTATGTTATAATAAAATCAGCTTCTGAGAAATTATACTGTTAGCAACTTGATTTAAAAACAACTAAGTTTAATAATTATTTTTTTTTCCCCAAATCCTCAAGAACTGAAGGTGCAGCACTTGGGTAAGCGATGCTTTAATATTCAAGAGCACATCATTCTGTTCTGCTCATACTTACAGGCTGTTAGCATCACAGAGCAGAGAATTACTAAAAGATGAGACCACAGACTTGAAATAATGTGATAAAACAAAGAAACGGAAAAATTTAGGCCAAATATCAGGCAAAGAAAAAATGTGCCATCAAGTTTTATGGAAAAGAGTTCCAGAGGGCCAAGTTCTTGGAGTTTCTCTAGCCATAAACCATAGAAGCAAAACTGCAGCAGAAAACATGTCCTGGCAAGACGACGGTCTGAATGATCTAATGCACTTTCCATCTCTTAACATCTATGACTGTGTGGCTCCACAGGAGTGCTTAGCAGATGGCTGGCCAACTTCAGTACCAGCTCAATCATCTGATAATAATCTAGTAATCAAAGTCTTCAATTGAAAGGATGCCCTCGCATCTGCATACTGCTGTTATATCACACCACGTTCATTCAGCGTTGAGAGTTACACTGCCATCAGAGAGCCTGATGCGAATGGCAGTAATTAGAGATATGTACAGCTCTCCTAAATAGGCAAAACAGAATTTAGTAATTAAAGAGACAATCATCATCTTTCTTGCAAAATGTTCAGGGTCAACTTTTGACAGCAGATTTGATGATAACAAGTTCAACTTTGTCAACATTTACGCATGCAAATAATTTTACTCATACACGCAATGAAGCATTAGCATGACTTGATCTATTCCAAAGGGCATTTTGAATTATACTCCCTTGACTTTTGTGCTCAAAATACCAGATTGCTTCTCAGATCATGTGCTTTGCTGCTTTCAACTTATAAGGTGAACATACACACAGAAAGCTCAGAAACCTGTACAGCATGAGCACAACTTTTGTGCTTAATGCGTAAGAAAACTAGATTGTAACAATAAAAAAAACTCAGAATAAAGATTACTAGAAAAACACAGAAGAAACAAACTCCAAAACAGAAGAGAAGGAAAAAAGGCATATGAAGAGATGATTCTTTACAACATGAATAACTAACTGACTGTGTGTCTGCTAGGATCATAAATCCTTTGCATTGGAAGGGACTTTAAAGGTCATGTAGTCCAACTCCCCTGCAACGAACAGAGACATGCACAGTCAAATCTGTTTGCCTAGGGCCTGATCCAGCCTCGCTTTCGAAGTGTCCTGGGATGGGGTAACAACCACTTAACTGGGCAACCCGTTCCTGTGCCTCACCACCCTGAATGTAGGAGATTTTTTCTTATATCCAACCTGAATCCTCTCTCGACCTTGAAGCCATTCCCCTTTGTTCTATCACTGCAATCCCTGCTGAAGAGCCCGTCTCCTTCTTTCCTGCAGCTCCCCTTCAGATACTGACACAGGCTGCTATCAGGTCACCCCACAGCCTTCTCTTCTCCAGGCCGCTCAGCCGCAGCTCCCTCAGCCTGTCCTCATGGAAGAGGAGTTCCATCCCTTGGATCATTCTGGTGTCCCTCCTCTGAATGCACTCCAACAGGTCCACATCTCTCCTGCACATCTAGATGCAATACTGCAGGCGAGGGCTCATCAGTGCAGAGCAGAGGGGCAGGATCACCTCCCTTATACATACCCCCTGAAACACCTCTGTCCTGAAAGCTTCTTTGGAGGAACTGGTTTGGTGTTTTATTTTTTTGGTTTTTTTTTCCTGACCAAAATAAATTCTACCTTGACTCTAATTAGGATGTGGCATTATTTGTGAGATTATAGCCAAGGGCAAATTCTGTGAGGAGCACGAGCTCCAAGAAGAATTTGTGACACTTTTGGAAAAAAACCATTGTGAGTCTGCAGATTCTATGAGTCGCAGGATGTTTATAAATACTATTTCTATACTAGTTATTTACATTAATGACTAAAAATTTTAGTACTGGATGGATCCCACCATACAAGAGTTGCACCAACCCCCTCTCACAGAATCACAGAATTGCACTCAAGCACTTAAGACTCTGAAGAGAAAATGGAAAGGACTACTACCATCACTGATATGGAAAAAAAGTAAATTAAACACTCTGTGTGCAGTGATGCTCAAGTGAAATGCAGACATCTAAAATGCAGATGTCAACAGAAAACAAGGAATACCAAATATCAATACCTGCTTGATTTGGAGATCAAGGCTCCCTAAGCACCTGTAACTGACAAGGTCAGTGCTTAGCTCTTGCTTGAGGTCAACGTGGGAGGTAGGGTTTCCTGATCATGCCAAACTCCACTTAATGCAGGTGTCATGGAAGGGACAATTCCACGTTCTCCTGTGCTTCTGACCATGAGTTGCTGCTACTTCCGCATGAGCAGCCATGCAGCTATGCATTGAATTACATCAGCTTGGACAGTCACAACCTTATCTTCCCCTCAAAAAGGAAAGAAAAATCTGATTTTCAGTGAGATAAGCAATTGATCCAGCTCAATCAAAGCCACACGGTCACCAGCACTGACCACAGAAGAAGCCAGCCCTTAAATCTGACATGAGTCTGCACAGCTGTTCAACGCGTTCTATACCCTCAGGTCACAAGGCAACACTGACTGCAGGGCATGCAGCTGTCCTGGTCATGGTCATCTAGAAACCTGTACAAAAAAAGATAATATTGTTGCCTTGGAAAAATAATCCAAAGGTGAGGCCTCACCTGGAAAGCTGGGCACTATTCCCTCTGCAGATCCCACTTCCTACAGAGCAGACTTCAGGCAGAGCTTGGGCTGAGGCCACCCTCTGTCCTCCCACTGGAGCTGTGCCAGCATAGGGAGGAATTCAGAATTCACAAAGCCATAAAGAGAAAGCACTGCAGGGCAAATATCACTCCACGAGACTGAGACTCCCAGGAGAAGGGGCAGAACTCTATGCTGTGATCCCTTCTGCAGGAAATGCTCATGCCTAATGCACTGAAGATTAGATAAAATGTACACACAGCTCCTTTTATATTAAAGCTTGGAAAGATATAACCTATGAGCTATGCAAATACACTGAAGAGCCAAGTGAGAGCTCTGCCCTAACAGGAGAACAGCACATACCTACCTGTATTCTTGGAAATATTTTAATTTTTGGTGGATAAAACTAAATCAAAGAGCAAAGCTGAGATCTTCGCAGTTATGACTCACTTCTGCCAACCTCATGTTTTGGCAACAGAACTGTATATACAGGACCTGTTATAACAGGTCATATGAGAAGTTACAATAGCCGCTTAGGTCCTTAAAGATACAACTGTGGTGCCCAAATTTTGATCAGAAGGGCAAAAAGCCTACTGGCTGCAATGTGCCAACAGCAGGCCAGGTTACCAAGAGATGTGTAAAAGAGGCCAAAAAGCAAGCAGAGCAGTGATTGCTGCACAGGTCTGTTCTGAAACTGCGTGGATGCAAATGGCTTCCATTCATGCCTTGCGCTGCTGGTATGCATACATTTTTATTTGGCTTGATGGATTATTTTTGTTTGAATGTTGGATCACGATTCTAGCAGAACAATACCAGAGGAAGTGCTCTCCTCTGCCAGCCCTAATTTTGAGCTCACCATCCTGGAGGCAAACTTCAGCCACAAACTCTGCGTTTGGATTGCTGCAGGCCATGAAAAACTTAGGAAACCACAATACAGTCGAAATAGCAAAGCCAACCATGCCTCTATACCTTGCTTGCAAACTTTCAGGTGGGAATTCCTCAGAAGTCAGCACAAATGAATGCTATCAAGAGACTGCATGCACCTAAAATGTCAAGCACTGGGGTGCTTTAGTGAAAGAAATCATACTACAGCAAAAGAACCCATACTATGTGTATCCGATTTCAGCTTGTTTCAGTGTTCCCTTACATGCAATTTAAGGCTTGAAAGACATGGCTTACGATAAAGGGTTTCCTGCAGCATCAGGTCTTCCACTTACTAATGTAATAAGCAGTTTTCTGCTTCAGAAGAAGCGCTGCTAAACCAACCTCTGTGTACTGCATTTTTTCAGTCAATATAACCACAGAAAGCGTGGGAGAAAAATAAAGCAATCTCTGCACCACTTATTTTAAATTCTACCTCTTCAATTTAGTGACACTTTAACAAGAAGGAAATAGAGATCATGCAAACACACGTGCAAAAACAAGCAAAACAAAATCAGCAGCATTCGGAATACAAGATCGTATTTCCCATTAATTTTGGGTGTGCACCATCCTCAGCAGTGAGCAGACAGTAAGGGCCTGCTCCCCAAAAGCAGAGGGTTTCAGAGAGCAGCAGTCCTCCTGTCGTACAGGTGGCTACACAACAACCACCTGAGAATCTAAAACTGCTTCTCCTTATAAGGGTCCTGCCTGTAATTTCTTAGTAAATGAAACTGCTCCAACGTGAACCAGAGGAAATTTGATCTGCTGCTTCAATTTACGTTTAACAATTAACAGTTCAAGGGCTATAAACATCCACAACTTCCTTTCTCTCTATCTGAAGTGATAAGAAAACAGGGATTTCTTTTTTTTTCTTTTAATATACAGTCCCTCCCGAGAGCACTTTGATAAGCTTATTGCTGAACAAACGCTTTCCAGAAGATACGCATTAATTCACAAAAACACTTGGCAGAAAACTACCTTCAAATATTTAATTCACGTAACATTCCCTCTTATTTGTTTTAATTCAAGTGAAATATTTTCCCCCGCCTTTCCCTTTCACGGGCTTTTCACACCCACATAACAACCAAGTGACTCTTCCCTGACCCTGCCTCCCACTCCGCTCAGTACAACTGCTCACTAGAAACTCGCCACGCACGTAAGCTCCTCTCCCGCGGTCCAAAGGAAGCACTTAAGGAAAGGAAATCCAGCACAATGCTAAACCTGCCCTTCTGTCGTTTTTTGTTGGTTTTTTTTTCCTTTTTATTTAACCGCTGGGTTTGTTCCCAGCTCTGCAGGGAGACGCTGTGCATGCTGCCACTGCAAAAAAGAGGGCAGAATATTTCCCGAGCGCCGTCCTACAACTCACGCCTCCGTAGGTTGGGAATGGTGAGACGTCCTCATGTCACCCACCCAGGACAGGAAAGCCACCACTCTGCACTCCTGGCGTTGGACTGTGAGCACACAGCATCAACACTTATTACGACTGCTGTCTGGAGGAGACGCGGCACCCAGCGAGATTAATTAAATAAGCACTATTCTGCTTTCCCTATCTTCTTATCATCTATGCATGCAGAACAATTTTCTGGAAAGCAAAGAGCTACGGTGTCACATACCAGAAAAACAGCTTCCTCTTTTGAAGGAAAGCACAGTGATAATGCTGATGAAGCACTGAAGGTAAGTTAAACATCGCTATCCTCATTTTACTGACGGGGTAACTAAGGAATAAATCACGACTTGCTCCAGAAGACCCTCCTCCAAACAAAACACCCCCAAAGCAGTGGTAGAGTCACAAGCAGATCCAGGGAGCACAACTTCCAGCCACAGCTCCAGCAGCCAACGTGATTCCCTCTAGCCAACAGTACATTAATAATTCTTTGTTTAGTTGTTGTTTTTTTTTTTTAGAAACCACTAATTGATAGCCTTTTTACAGAAGATTCACAAAGCCACTTAAAATATCGTTATTTCTATTCTAGGAATATTTCAGGAAAAGTACCATTGGCTTTACTGCATGGTAACACATATCTGATTTTCATACTAAATTCAAAATAAACCAAAGCTTTGTTTGTTCAGCAAAGACAACAGGAAAGCAGTGGAGCAGCAGGGGCTCGGGGATGCTGCGATCCCAAAGCTAGGGCATGGAGGGCTGGCCCATCTCTCTGCTCAGCACCAACACAGCACAGCTTTGTAGGTGGAAGCTGGGAGGGAAAAGCAATTTCAGATTGTATTTTGTCAACCCAATGGCCTAAGCTTGCCCCTTTATTTACAGATTCCTGCACTCCAGCAGATCAGCTAGCATTTTCTGTGAGAGCTGCTCCCATGAAAAAAACCAACATACCTTGCCATGCTCACAGAGCTGGGAAGAGATTTCTTTCCATTATGTTTAGTAAGATACCATCTGAGCACTAAAAATGAAAAGTATATAAACTTACCACTGCATTATCAGGAAAAGCATCAGAAATCAAGCTTAGGTGTTGCTGAGCAGTCAGCACCTCAGCTCCTTCCTGGCACAAAATCCATGCAGCATGCAGCAGGTACCAGAAGCACCTCTCCTGTGCTAGTCCTACCCGTATGCTCACAGATGTCTTCTGAATCTGCTACCAACAAAAGAAACCACAATAAGACCGTTTCCCTGATTCTTCATAACTGAGTCAGTAGGTCAACAATTCCTTCGTTTTAGGAGCCAAACCAATTCCCTTAAACACCCCCTGTTTTTTTCTCCCTGATGGAGAAGCCAACTGTCTGCTGCCAGTGGCAGCTCAGCTGCTCGCAGAACAGAACCAAGCTCCAACAAACCAGCTTGCCCTGGCGCAGACGTTCATCCTGACACAGCTCCATTTTGTCTCTCACGTCTGGGAGAAGCCACGAGCAATTACTTACGTTTTCAAATCGAGCCACAGGCAGGGAAGTGCTCCGCGTGCACCTTGCATGCTGCCACCAGCTCCTGCAGCCCACATCCTCACTGCCCATGGCAGCACACGGTGGCACGAGGAAGGGAGCATCACCAAATGCCAGACCTGCTCCCGCTCCATCCTTCTCCACACCAACACAGAATATCCTGCCCGTGCCTCTCATGCGCTCAGCTCAAACAAAGAGAAAGCTCGGAAGCTGCTCTCCTTCTTCCCAATCCATGACTCAAATGTCTGGTTGAAATTGGTTTCGTAATAACCCTTTAGTACCACCTACTCACATCACCAAGTGCTTCTTTCAGCAAACGCGCAGGAAATCACCAACGAGTGCCAATGGATCTACTATTCCAAGAACTCGCTCTTTCGGTTATTCCTCCATCATTTGGGAACCAAGACACTTTTACTTTCCCTATCACACCGGGTATTTTTTTTTTTATAGAAGAGCCTTAAACTGCGATCCCATAAAATACTTGGTTGATAAATCACCAGCTGAAAACTCGCCCACTGTAAAGAAAAGAATTTCACAACACTCATTCCAGAAAACACAGTAACTCCTTTCTGGAAATAATTCACCGGACAAAAATCAAAAGGGCAGAATTAATGTTCGGAGACCGTTTGCATCCTGCACAGCAGACAAAGACGGTGCAGCGAGCCACGTGCCTCTGTGACTGTCACCAGCAGACCCCTGAATCACCCAACCACACGATGAGTCGCTGTGAATGGTTTCCTCTTCCTCTGCACTCCCCCAGCGGGGCTCGGCGCTGCTGGAGGATCCTGAGCCTAATCCTGACTTTGATGGGGATTCCAAAACTCATCTCCTAAGGCTGCAGTCACCAGCGGACGCCGCAGACATCTGCTCCTCCTGCTTTGAGTCACCTGTCAGCAGTACAAAAGGAAATTGCTCAGCGGTGAGCACGTGGAAGCCCAGTGCTAAAGTGCAGAAATACAAAATACCGGAGTGCTCACATCACCCTCAAGGAAAAGTACTTGGTTCTGAAGCACTGATATTCAAAGAGGTGAAACTTGGTAATAATGAATAGGCGCCAGCAAGCCTTACAGCTCAGCCTGCAGTGCCAGCGTCGTTGAGGCAGCAATGGAAGGGGGAACAAAATAAAAGAAGACATTTCACAAACACTGGACCTGCACTGTGCGTGACAAGAAAAATAATTGAAACAACTGAGAGAACTAATCTGTGGCTGCTTAGGAAGTTAACTCTTCGAAGGAAATGATTAAGTAAGAGAACAAAAGCCAAGTGTTATGTTTATCAAACAAGGAAACCTCACAAATGAGCATGCCTGCTCGTGGCAGCGGGGTCACAGCACTGACAGACCGCACAGGAGCGGCTCCCACCACGCTACCATCCCTGAGGTTAGTAAGCAGCTCCTATCTCAAGGAAATACACTTTTTAAGAAATGCAAAGCATTGCTTTGCCAGAACGAAATGCTACAGGAAGGCATCCGCAACGTCCTGTGCCTTTATGAAATTCCCTTTACGCAATTCCTGCTCAGCATAAAACTCACTACGATTTCAGCAAGGAACCCCGGTTAAGCAGGACAGTATTTACAAATTCAGGCCAGAAAAGCTCGCTTTTGTGTCGTTCCATCACAAATACAGCGCTCACAAATTCAGCCGTCCAAAACAAGACTCCAACTTTGCAAAAAACAAAACAAAACAAACAGGTGAGTAAAAAAAGCAATTAGAGCACATCGCGCTTCGAATCTTCAGGAATTTGATAAAAGGAAATTCATTCTAAAGATTTAATTGTCTAACCTGCTTCTCCATGCTGAAGGAGCCAGACCTGGTGCCTCTAGAGGGAGGGCGAGAGGCACTTCTTGTTCCTGTTTCATATCTGAGTTCTTCCCTGCGCGGGAGATGATCTAATTATTCAACACGTCAGTATATCGCTTCACCCCTTCTTGCACGTCTACTGACATTAACATATTTTAACAATTCAGCTCATTAGGAAGGAGGGGAGGCACTGAATGACAAATCGTCCTTACAAATCCACCACAAAGGCACGAGCCTTCCTGCGTTTTGTCCCGCACTTAGCTCAAACTCTATGGGAGCACACGACAAACGATGCTGGATGCAAGCTGGCAACAAAGATCAGGCAACACAGCCCCTGTGCTGCTGGTCAGAATTACACATACTTGTTCAAAACATGAGCCCCATCCATGAGCTCTGGCCAGAGTAAGCAAGCTCTTGCCCGCTTAGGAAGCACAGACCTCCTGGAGCCCATCTTCCCATTGTATTCCCATTGTTCCCAAGCTCGGTGCTCAGCAGGGACTGCCAGGGAGAGGGGCTGTCACACCTCGCCTAGAATTGGGCATAGGCAATGAAAGCAAGGGATCAGACCACACAAGGCTGCTGCTGACAGACTTGAAACGGATCTGAAACAATGCTGAAATCCAAATATAACATGCATGGCACCTGCATTTGCATGTGTGGGATGCTGAAGGATTCCAAGGCTTTTTATCAAATGTCCTTGTTACAGCAAAAGCAGAGAGTCACTGGATTCTCAGCTCCTTCTGCATGCAATGATTTCAGAGATGATGTTCTTCTCTTTCAGACCTCGCCTCGACCTACAACAACACATCCACTCACGACTGGCTGAAGCAGACTTCACAGCATATACTAAACCTACCAGTACATAGGAAAGTTCTTCAGCGAGTTTCTATATATCAACATTTTTTTGTTTTTTATTACAACTATTTCTATGAGCCCATTCACAGTCGGCTCCTTTACTGCAATCGAACATGATGGATTGGTAGCCAGCTAATGCTTATGTAAGGCCTTCAAGGAAGCAGAAAATTATTTCATATAAAATCAAGCCTGTATAGCAATGGAATTGTACTACTACATATTAAATATTATTAATAAGAGACCTGCCTTGCAGTCAAATGCTACATCCCATTAGTATAGCCAAATAATTCCTGCCATAAAAGCTAACTCTTCTCAGTCAAAAGAATGATGATAGCTAAGAAGCACCTGCTTTTTTGATTTAAAAACACCACACTTCCTAATAAAAACAAACATAAAGAGGCAGGAAGAGTATATCTTTATGATTTGCCTAAGTCCGATTTAACTTTGGTCAAAAATAAAAATAAAGAAAACAATTTTCAAGCGTGTGACGTAAACTTCCCCAACTCAGGTGGTATCTTGTTTTGGTTTTTTTGTATCTTTGCTTTCATTTTATTGCTGGGTGTTTTCTTTTTGTTGGCAAGGTCACGTTTTTTTCCCAGACATTGTTTCCTTCCTCCTAACTCACCCCATCTAGCAGCAGACCTGACTTGGTCAGCCCAACGATGCACTTGTCTCAATCACAGCCCCAGCTGCCCCCATCATACTCAGGAGCTCAATGCCCTCTTCCTTCAGGAACGAGCAGCAAGAGTACATGCCTGCAGGTACTTAGCCTGCAAACAAAAATGGAAGCTTGTGAATGATGCTTTATAGTGGTTTAGTAAGACACAGAGAACACGAGGGAGTTTGCTTCAGGAAAACAGTTCTGCTGCTTGGGGGCTGGGAGGAAAGCACTGCTCCCTGGAGCGGATGCAGTTGGTGTACACAGTGACACAGCCAACACGGCCAAAGTACCCACTGCACTACCAACAAATCAGCCTCACATGATGAAAACAGGCACTTTCCACAGAACTTCCTGGGTAGCACCAGGGTTTCTCTCTTTAGCTACATCCCATTTTGTACCACGATGCTGCAGCAGCGCATGGACTAAACCAGATTGCAAACTGAACTTCATCCTGTTTAAGGGCCTGTTCCCGTGGGTTCCTGAGATGTGCAGGCTGTGAATTTAAGGCCAGAAACACTGCTGACAGCATGTGTGCACTGGGAACAGACTGGCCCAAGCACTCAGGTGTCGAGATGACTAAGGAGGCAGAGCCCAGCCTCATCTTTCTCAATGGCTTTTGCCACTGAGCAGCACTCCAATCTTCTTTGGAAGAGATTGCCAAAGAGATGCTGCTCAACTCCAGCTTTGGTTTCTTTTAATCCTCTTCCTGCGTTTTATCCAAGGTACCTAAGCAGACCTCAAGTTAGGACAGATGCACTTCCAGCACTTAATACTGGCACTTAATTTGGTTTTCTTCCCACTTGGCTCGCTTGGTATTTTTACACGTTTAACTTCTCTAATTCTTTCTACAAGCATCTTTCAGGTTATCTTCAGTTCGCAGTTCCAGTGTTGGAAATCTTTTTTCACATTTGGTCTCACACGCTTTCACGCAAGCACTGTGCACAAATGAGCTGCAGGAGCTGACAGGAGAGGCTCCATTCCAACACTGCAACTTCCAAAACGACAACTTGAGGAGTATGGAGAGAAGCAGAGAATTACTCTCCTGATTTACTCTGGTAGCTACAACAGATGGATCATATAATTCACTGCAAACAGTGTGCTTGCCGTAATAAAGGACACAATGACCTCTAGGTAAAAATCCTAGGAACAGCAAGCACACAAATTTCAACCTGCACAACTTCAATTCCGTGCCAGGGCTCAAGTTGAAGATAACTGTAAAGACAAACACTCTGGACAGATTAATTCAGACCATAATTCACTGCACACACGTGCCAAATTGTGGTGTAAACCTACTGCCTTTTAACACTCCTCACTGTAAGACCTATTTCCGCTGATGAAGTAGGTTTTCAGAGTGATCTCTGAGTCTTATGCAATTTGGCACAGCCTCCTTTAGCACAGAGAAAGTAGTTCAGGTTCAAGCTGCAGTGCAGAATGCCCTAGCATTGATCTGCAATGGCAAGGCTTCTCACAACAGAGCTCTGCTGGTGTTCTGTAACCATGCAATGATTCATCACATCATTGCTGTTACCTCCCTTCTCCATCCTTGCTCCCCTCTCAAAGGTATTTCAACCCTAAGATTTATTTATATGCTCGGTTCCTCAATGGGAAGGCAACACCAGCATAAAGTTTTTCTTGGTATGAAGGTACAGACTTCCTGAGTGTACAAGTACTTTTTATATAATAAGACTACAAAATTCCTTGCTCCTTCTGATTAAGAAGTCCTCAAAGAGCTCAGTTCCACACACTCCAAATACTGATGGGTTGCAAGGGCTATAAGTGTTCATCTCTGTCCAGAAGAAATGAATTTTTCAGAAGTAAAGAATACAAGAGGGGCAAATTTGTGGAGTGCCCATTATTTGAAGTGCTGTGTTTATACCACTAGATGGCACGTTTGAGGCTCCTGGCATCCGTAAAATGACAGTAGACTTCACTCTGCATCACCATGCTTATCCTGCTATTCTTGCTCTGGATGGAAAAGTACAGGTAAAATGATACGACAGCAGTTGAAGCAGCAAGATAGGTGGGTAACTACATGTAAAAAGGTGCACGAGAGGGCAATGCACACCAGTAAGCTGAGAGCAGGACTGCAGGAGCCCTGAGCTCCAACACCGCGACCTCTGATCCCTGGAACAGTCTTAAGAAACCACTTCATGTCTTGGGAGAATGCACTTGTGGGTTTGGAGAGGGAAGATGGGAAAGGAGGGTCAGAGTTCAACCTTCTAAGACACGGTGCCTTGGTTCTCTGCTGTTCTCCTGCCCTGCAGGGCTCACACTGTGAGCTGGGACTCCGTGCAGAGCTGCAATTAGGAGGAGTCAACATACACAACGTGCTGTCTATCACAAGAATGTATTTATTATGACACGTGCATACTTTAAGACTTCCAAAATAACAAGTAGTTCTCCTGCCTGAAAATCCAAGTAGCCAATATTAGTGAAATGCAAGTATTCCTACTATCTCAGGAAGACGGAGCAAACTGAGAGATCCCTAAGCACTCAAAAGGACACAAAAAGAGTTCACAACCTCTCCAACACATCACCAAAAGCATAAACTGATGGGACAGAGAGCTTACAGAGCACAATCTTAACAGAAGAAGATTTACCCATGCCACAGAGTTACACTTTCCCTCTGCAAGACCCAGCTTCTCCAGAAAACCAAGCACTCTGCATCCCATGGCGTGGACCTAAGCGCTCCATATCAGATAAGCAAACACACAGCAGCCCACGACCCGCTGAGTCAGCTTCATGGGCAAGTCATCTCCTGTGCTGGATATGCTTTGGTGTGTGCCCAGCTGTGCCCTGGTACCAGCCTTGACATGGATGCCAGCATTTGGCAGCATCAGTTCCTTTAGGCTTCTTGCTTGTTCTTGCTGCCAGTTTAATTTCACTCGGCCCACTTTAGCACAAGCATGTATCTGCCACAACCAACATTCCCTCGAAAAAGAACAAGTTAGTTCAGCACCATTGTAACGGTTGTGGGCACACAGAGACCGTACTTGTCATGGCATTGCACCCCACATGCCCCATGCAATTTCAATAAAAAGAGGATTAAAAATTCACTATTATCACTTCAACACTTCACTCAGTCCTTGGAACTGGCAATAATGGCAAGGGGAAAAAAAAAAAAAGTCAATTTAAATTTGAGCAGGAAAGAAAATTTGCTGATAAACCCCAAGGGTAACAGCAAAGAATACTTCTTGTCCAGATGGAGGAAGCAGCATCGCCTCATCCCATCCAATAAACAACAGCTCACCCTTAGTGCGGTGGCAAAATTAAAAATCCACTTTGTTTTCCTTCTCTATGTAGGATTTAGCTCTGGAAGGATGCCCCAGATTACACAGCTGATGTGCACCAAACTGCCCTCATTACCATCAGTATTAGATAAAGCCACCACGTGCCCATGAGGCAGCACAGGACAGCTGATGGAGCACCAGCCATCCCTTCCTTCCATCTAGGAGTTCTGCTCTTCCCTCATCCATCAGTTTGGTACTATTTGTGTATTTACATATTCATGCATCCTAGGCAAACTTTTCCCCACAAGCACTTCTGCTTTCATGTTTGCAGACTCTGCCAACACAGCCGCATGCACCAGTAATCTCCTGCAGTAACAGCCCGGCAAGGCCTGTTTTAGACATACAAGCAATCCACAAAACTATGTCAAACATCACGATGCAATAGCTGCAGCTTGACCTCACCATTCCCCCTGGGCCTGCATTATGGGTGCAGCTCCCATTCCTATAAGGACACAGTAATGTTTGTAAGCCAACAGTTTTGCGAGACTACAGCAATTTGAGCTCCATTTTCAAAGCCACTGAAAGCAACGGCTGTCCCAAAATGCAGGTTTCCACTGAACAGCACCAAATCTCTTCCCAGTATGCACCCACCATGTTTTGACGGCTTTGAAATGAGAACAGCAAGTGCTTTGATGGGTGGGCTCATTTCTCAGCATAATTACCAACCTCACCGCAAAAAACTTGGCAGTAGATAAAATGGCAGGTATTTATAAATTAAGATTGCAATCCTTGAAAATCTGTTTCACATTTTGTCTAAGCCAGTGAAACAGCCCAATATGCTGTGTTCCAAGAGGAAGAGAGAAGCAGACTTGAAAACTGGTATTAATCTCACTTTGTGTCCGGGTTAGCCACAGGGACCTCCCTAAAGGCCAGTGAAAAGAAACACTTCCAGAACATGATTCATCTGCCCTACTCCACACAGCTACCTTAGGGTGCTCTCCCTTATTAAAGGAAGCTGGGAACTTCACAGACCTGCCACATGAGTAACAAAGGAATCAATTTTCAAGTTCTGTTTTAAGCTACCGTAAGAGGTACCTTGAAAAATGAGAGCTTTTTGATAATGACTTACTGCGCAGTTTTTTCTCCATCTCCTCTAAGTGGAAAAATACAAGTGTGGTTTCTTACAGTTTTCATTTAACAACTACCCTGCTCAAATTTGCAAATGAAGCTCTGCAGCAGTTGCCTTGGGTATGAGAACTGATGAAGAATTCAGGCCGACACGCAAAGGAAGCGATTGATCTATTTTCACTCTTACTGGGATTAATTGGAAAGTAAACACAGCCAGATAAAGAGCAGAAAGTAGATTTCATCATGCAATGTTCTCCTACTTTAATAAAAGGATGTTTGCTTATAAGGAAGGAAGAATAACCTCGTGGCTAAGGACATGATGTTCATAGTGCACTACCAGCTCTGGACAACATTTCCTGCTTACCTCAAATGCCATCCAGACCGTGTGTGCTACCACAAACTTCAATTTCTGGAGAGGAGATGGTCATGGAAGGAGGTCTTAGGAGCAAGACGAAATGGGCACTGCTGAAGAGGT